CACAGATAAGCTTGGCTGCATCGAACGGCGAAGCCGAACACAACTTATCCTGAACGGTAACATCGGCTCACTGAAGCCGATCCATCCGGGATATTACGGCGTCTTGCAGACAGCCACGCAGTGCGTCGTTAAGACGTAACCACCGCCGTTTCGCTAACCCGCAGGTCAACGAAATCCTGTCGAGAACGAGGTTAGGCTTAACCAGTCGTAATCGTTACACTTGCGGTGCGTGGAGGCCGAGTACGAAGCTGGGCGCCCCTTTGTTTCGAGCGCCACTGGACGCCCCGTTCCTCAGCAAGAGCTCTTTACCAAGTACGAAGTGTTTCCAGAGACGTCGGAGCTTCAGGAAGTACGGTCACGGGAGGCGGCAAGCGAGGGCGGCTACCAGTTCTTTGTCTAGAGGAGGGACCTCGCCTCGTGTTTGTACTGCCGCGAGTCAAAGGCACACAGTGCTCTCTCGAGGCGCGGAGTCAAGAGGGCGCTCGAGGAGGGGCCGAGCCCACGGGAGCTCGGCACGGTGGCCCTCCTCTCGGAGCTCCACCGGAGCAAGATCCCTCCAATCGCCGTTGCACCCGGCCTCTTCCTCGTGCCCCTCCTCGACGCCCGCACTGGGCGCCTTCTGGACATCTCTGCAACGGAGCGGGGTTTTGTCACTGTCCCACGGCTCGTCAAGGTCGACCACACGGGCAGCTTTCAATGCCTCTGTAGTCAGAAGGCGTGCCGGGACACGACATGTCGTTTCTGGAGGCGACGCGTCTTATGGGCGGCTGGTGGCAGGGAGGGGAGGCCATCTTCGGCCTTTGACGGCAGCAGATCGTTCGCGCGGGAGGTCACGCACGGCGTGCCTTGGGTATTGCCGTTGGAACAAGGGGGGTGCGTGGGAGGTGTTCTCTATGGGCTAGACGCATTTGCGTGGAAACGGGGCCCGCACCTCCGAGTGATTGTTGCGAGCAACCCCGGAGAGGAGCCCGTGGTTTGCGTGCTTGGAGGAGAGGTTGCGCACTGTAGCAGTATCAACTGCACGGGTCCTGAGCGGTGCCGGCACCTGTTGAGTGTGCTCTCGGAGCAGAACTTGCCTCTGATCGAGCGATGAAGGCAAGAGCGAGGCAACTCGGGTTTATGCTGAGAGACGCGCCGAGAGGGTTGCACAGCGAGAAGCGGGGGCGAGGAGGCTCTTGGTCTGCAACGATCCCTTTTGCCGGCGGCCGGACTCAAAAGCTGCATGCACGCACCGAAGGACGCTGGAGTCGTGGGAGTGCCTTCCGGCGGCAGCCCTTGACACGGGGCACAGCCACAAGAAGGTCGATACGGTCATGAGCCGGGGTGGAGGGAGCGTCGCGAGCCTCTGTGAGCGATGGGGCGAAGAGGGGGTGCGGCAGCGAGATAAGGCAGAGCACTTTTGCGCATCTCGACCTTTGGATGCGCTCTCTCCCTGCGGCCGCCCATGGCAGGTGAAGAGCAAGAAGGGGGTTCTGACGACGGCGGGAGCACGCTACGAGGTCACAACCTATCGGAGGGTTTGTCGGCTAGCGCCGGGACGCGAGTCAGCTTGTTGCATGGTAGCCTACGACGGCCGGGTGAGACATAACATCGTCATCACACGGACTGATTCGTTGATAAAGAACGGATTCCTTGTACCGCTTGTACGCTGCTTCAGAAGGTAAAGGAGCATTGGCCTTGAGGTAGTCAATGTTGCACTTGGCTTTGACAGCGGGCGGGTAGTCTGGTTCGGACCACAACAATGAATACTTCAATGGAGACTCCAAGGGCACCATACGACGGAGAAGTGAGAGTTGGTGAATCGCTTCCTCCCAAAAGACGCACTTGGATTCTTCCTCGGGGCTCTCGAGCTTTGCTCGAAGGTCAATGCACTCTGGTAGATTGAGACCAGCTAGTACGGCTTGCGTCTAGAAACACCTCCCCAGGTTTGCAAGGTCCTCATAATGCTTGACGAACCTTTTCCTCCGTTGCATTACGACCTTTGTTTGTCGAGCTTCTTGAGCCTCACGAAAGCCCACCGGACCTCCTCGCTCCCGGATAGCAAGCACACGTACGTCGACTTCCCGATAGTAACGGGTTTGAACCGTGTTCAAAGGATGAGAGGTCCACTGAAGCGGAGTGAGGTCTTTTATCTCGTACTTCTTTCGTGCCTCGGTTGTGGTCAGGCAATCAAGTGCGCTGTGCAGTCCAAGATCCAGACATTTTAGACATGTTGGCAACCCTTTGTGGGGGTGCATGGGCCATCGCAGATCAGTCCACGCACTGCTGCATATTGCGCAACATTCTTGCGGCAAGATCGACTCGACGTAAAGTGGGCCGGGTGAATTGTTGCTCGAAAGCGGAAAGTCGTGCATCATTGTTCCGATACCAGCTTGAGTATCTTTACAGGTACAGGCTGAAGCGGCCAGATCTGGAAGATTGAGCAAGCCCTCCTGACCGACAACACTCAAAGCGGAGGCAAACTTCTCGTTTAAAGACATCGTCTGCTGTAGTCAAGCCTTGGAAAGAATGAAGGCTCTCCTGAACGCATATCCACGATGATGTTGTTCCGTTTTGCAGGAGGACGGCATCTTCAACTTCTCCGGCACCAACCTCATCTCGCACGGACTCCTCTTGCGCAACCACTTTGCCGCAGCTCTGGGGGCGGCCCACAGTCTCAACTTTGAGGCCGGTGACATGGCGACAAGGTGCCTCGAGGGGCCTAGCGTTTCTAGGATGGACGACCGGGTCTTCGACTCGGCCATGCAAGCCTTCAACGACCTGGCGGCACGGCCTCGGATCCAACACGTCTGCTCGCGTGTCGACTGCGCGCACTTGTACACGAGCGAGGTGGAGGCGGCCGAGGCGGAGGCCCAAACGGCTGGCAACTCTCTGAGGCCGGAGCGAACGGAGGGGGCGAGCTCCGAGCTGGCCACATATATTTTTGGGCGGGACAAGGTCATCACCTTTGATGGCACCTTCTTTGCCAACTCGAGTGCGATGAGGGATTCCAGCATCGAGGCATCCTTGCACAGCATCTGCGAGCCCGATCCGAAAGCGCCGAGGGTGGCTGGGGGCTTCACTCCTCTGAGCGTGGGCGGGGTGCGGCCATCTGACGTGCCGCTGGAGGGAATCGACTGCCCTTGGAAGTACCGGAACGGCCTCTCAGAGCTACGGCCGGCCGTGCGGGCGCTGGCCCTTCGTTGGTGCAACTTTCGCAAGGCCCCGGCCCACGGGAGCAACGCGCCTCTGACGCCGGACGAGTTCGTGGCCATGCGGGAGGAGCTTCCGGCCAACGTTGCCGCTCTGGTCGACTTTGTGATCGAGTCGGGGGCTTGTGCCAATCCCACCACGTGTGCGGTCTGCCTGGGGGTGCCACGGCGGCCGTGGATGCAAGGGTTTCTCAAGGAGGGGCCCGTGGGGCCGACCGGCTGGTGCCCCACGCACTTCCAGCCATACGGAGCCCTCCTCCACGCGCTGCTCATCCCTCGCTACTCCTGGGTGTTTGGGCGCATCGTCACCCTGAAGTTGCTGAGACACGTGTTGCTGGAGGGTCCTCTCGATGCGCGAGGGATGGCATTTCTCTCCAATGACGGCCCCATGCTAGCGGCCGTCCTGCGCCTCCATCCAGTTGCCGGCGGACAGTACGCATTTCCAGCAACGCTGCGGCCGCTCGTGCGTGACATCTATGCCACGAACCTCCTCTGCTTCGAGCCCAGCGCAAACCGGCCGGGTCCAGCCTTGCGATCGCCACTGGCCGCCCTCCATGATGCGACCGAGCACCTCTGGGCAATCGAAGGCGAGAAGCTGAGGCTTGCGGGTCAGCTAGAGGGGGCGGCCATGGAGTATGCCGAGCAACGTGGGGCGGCATTGAAGGGGGCTGCCAACTCGCTTCTGTTCGAGCTCGAGGTTTGAGAGCCTTTGTGCTACGGAGAGGGCGGCTTCCTTCAGGCGCCGTCGGCGGCCTATACTGAGCGGGTCGGCGCCGTCTCGTCCTACTCCTTTCACCCCCTGCTGTACGGCCGGCCTCGGTTCGTCGACTGGGAGGACGAGGAGGGCCGGGGGAAGAGGGGGTCAGAGGAGCGCCCAACCCAACATTGCAGTGCGCCAAACCCTCTGTCATCAAAAGGGCGGGCCGGGATCTTCATTGCGTGCTGCCAAGACCGGGCGCCCCTTGGGTACCACTGGCTGAAGGGGACCGAGTCGGTGTCGGACCTTGGTACGGTGCTCCTGACGCGGTTCCATTCAAGACGCTGCGGGGCATGACCGTCGTGGAGGACGCTTCGTGCAACGCGCAAGAGTGGTTGCTGAACCGGGTGCCCTCGATGGCCAAGTATGTCTGTTTTGTTGTGGACAGATTCCATAGTGGGCCCGTGAGCTGCGCGCGGTCTGGCGCGAAGCGCTACGCGACGCACACGTGTGCCCCGACACTCTTCATCGACTCGTTCCCACAACACAGCCACACGATCACGACGGCCTCGGAAGGCATCAACTCGGGGCTAAAGAGATGCGCGGCCAGCCTCCAGCAGATCACGAGCATCAAGCGGCTATTGAGCAGGGTTACAACGATCCTCGACACGTTGTTTGAGCGATCAAAATACGCAGTGTATTGGAGCAATACTAGCAATCCTTTGAGAGACTCGATCAAGAGGGGGCGAAGTCAATGAGGTTGTTCTGTATTACTCTATTACTCATTACCCACCTCATCAAGTTCCTTTTGTGTTTTAACATCTGTCATGTGGTGAGGAGTGCATCGAGAGGGCTTCATATCCGTAAAAAGAACGGGTAATAGGGTAATAGGGTAATAGGATGTATGGTTCAAGGCTTTATTCATGGGTACTGTCATGTGTGTGTTGTGTTGTGATGAGGGTAATAAGAGGGTAATAAGCTGTTCTGTACTCACACACTTCGAAAATTTGTCCCTATTACTTCTCACGACACTACATGCTTCTTCCAATCCCTCTTTTTACACCCACACATGAAAGTTAGAGCCGTTGGTAGATTCATGATGGGCCGCAGTTGAGGTTCTCCTTTATTACCCTATTACTCATTACCCACCGCCTCAAGTCTGTTTGTACATCTGTCATGTGGTGATGGAAGCTTCAAGGGGTTCCATATTTTAAAAAACAATGGGTCATAGAGTAATAGGGTAATGGAATGTCTGGTTTAAGGCTTCGTTCATGGGTACTGTCATGTGTGTGTGTTGTTGTAATAAGGGTAATAAGAAGGTAATAAGCTATTTGGTACTCAATCTCTTTGGAAAGAATCATCTTCTGGCCTTTCTCGAGTCTGTACTTTCCCGTCCTCACCTCGTCTCACTTCCCACATATGACGGTTGGAGCAGAACGAGCATTTTTGATCCGCAACGGTTTTTCGCGACCTTCCCAAAGCATCAACCAGCTCTTGAAGAGCCGTCGGTTCCGTCATCCATGGGCCTTCCTTGTCTTCCACGTACTCGAGTCGTTGCCAGGTATCAACCCACTCCACGGTCGAGCTCAGAAGCTTCCCTTTGTGCAGGGCCTCGCAGATAGCGCCCTGTGGGGCGAACCACCATCCCTTGTGGGTTCGAACCTTCTCAATGGAGCGTGCCTGCGGTCGCATCTTGAAAACGGCATTTAAAGAGCGCATCAAGAGATTAATGTCGGTATGGCGGTCTTCTTTGATGTCCATCTGATGCAAAAATGTGTCATAAGTCCGCTTGATGTCCGCTGATGCTACCCACGTCTCCAAGGACGGGTGAAAGCACCCGTTCTCAAGCAACGCTTGCATCATGTTGACATGGGGTGGAATCGAATGTTCCTTTAGGCCTTCCCCCCAAGCTGTAATTGGCATCTTTTGAGGATTCCAGTCGGAGATGTCAATGGATGAAAGATACCGATACATGTAATATGCGGTCATGGGTTTTTCCAACTCTTCCACAAGTGCATCAAAGTACTCTTTGTCGCCCATTTTGGTATCTGATACTTGCTGACAAGAGTATCGTCGGTCGTCGGCCTCCCGTTTCACTGGCGAGTAATTATTGGTCGTAAAAACGAGGTTGCTCTTGTCCTGCACGCTGATCGGATCTTGGCCTTTACGCTCCAAGCACGTCGTCTCCTGAGTGATTTGCGACTTCATCCGATCATTCATCCGGAACGCCCCTCCCCAATTTCCTGCCTCGTCAAAAGTAATGAGAAGCTTATTGGCTCCCAATGAATTGAATTTTCCAATGACCGTGTCGATGTTGTTGCAATAAAGATAGTACTTGGCACCAAGAATCTCGCGTCCAATGAAGTCCCACACTACAGACTTTCCGCACCCTTGCCCACTGCGGAAAACAAGAGCCACTCCAACCTTCCTCCAAGGCTTCTGCACGGCGTGCGCCATCCAACTGATGTTATCGGTGAATCGTTCGTTTGAGCCATCGCACACGATGTTGCGAAGGTGCCACATAAGCTTTGGCATCTGTACCTCGCACTCCATGAACTCCGCCTCCGTCAACTTGTGGTCGAGCGGTTTGAATCTCAGCCCGGAAAACAGATTGAAATGTCGCGGGGACCCCTTTGATGGGTCCGGCTCGAACACGATCTGATCGTATTCCCGCCGCTTAGGGTTGCTCTCCCAAAACCTGGCAACCTCTTTGTTCTTCCCAGGTAGGCTCTCGAGCTGGAAGTTTCTGCAGACCTCCAGAAAGTCCCGGCCGGACCGATGGATGGTCTCGTCGGACTCAAGCTTCCCGTTTGCGTCTCTTGAGTAGATTGTCTTTAGGTAAACCGCCTTTGTCGAACGCACAACGGCAAAGTAATGGTTCATGATCTGCAAAGTGAGATCGTGTAAGTGCATCTTTGCTCTCTTTGTTCGCTCGTCATCTTCCTTGCTCTTCTGTTTCCCGACGCTTTCATCTGCGGGCGGCACAAAGGGGAAAATGTAGCTTTCGCAAGTTTTGAAAAGTTGTCCTTCCGCTCTCAAAGGCAAACACTAGGGCCAAAAGTACACGCCTAGCAAAGGCTTCGGTCGATCAATGCAATCCGGAGACAGACAACGGTACACGAAGACGCACCCGTTACTCAAGACGCTGAATTGATTTGAATGGTGTTGGTGGCCGTTCAAGCACGTTCGCGAGCCGTTGGTTCTAAACTTGAGGATCTGCCACCCGTTCGGGGTCCTTTTTCCAACGCCATTGAAAATGCTAGAGTCGCCTGGCACTCTAGCACGCAGCAACCTCTCAATCTCTTCACGCGCTTGTTCCAGTCCCGGCAATTGATTCCATTCCGTATCAGGACGTGCGGTGCTACATGGTGCCGCATCTTCTGCTCCGGGTGTTGACATTGGAGCTTGTGGCTTTGCAATTCGTGGTTTCTCATGGAACGCAGCGTCGTTCAAGAATTGGACCAACCAGTCTGGCATCCCATTGCGAGGTGCCGTTTCGTCCGATCCGCTCCAATGGTAGCCATACTCTCTTCCCGCTTCGTCAAAGTACTTTGAGGGAGAGGCATAAACTATCCCATCCCGGCCTCTTCCATCCAAGGCCCATGTGCACCCCTCGTAAACGACCGTTGCAAAGTTTGTATCTTTGAGCAGACCAGAGGTCTTGCTTCGGCTAAAATATATGTGCAATCCAAATCCCAATCCAGTGGTTGCCTTTAGGGTCTCAACGGCTCCGTGCTGCTCCACCAATCAACTCCAGAGCATTGTGCCTGCCTCTTTGCGCCCACCCTCATCCTTTGAAGATCTTGCGGTGGCATCGCAATCGACGACATAGAGGTCGGATACGCCACAGAGCACCGCCAGAGCATTAACATCCAAGGCGGCCTTGTTTATGTAAGAGTTGATACCTTTCTTCCAATCTGCTAACGACTTTGTCAACGGGGTATAATTGCCACCACTGAAGCTTGTTTTCTTCTTCCCTGCAACAATTTCTAGCCGGAGCGGGATGGTGTACATGCCCTGTTTATACAGAGATCGCATGCCTTCAACGATACAATACTTGTGCTGAAAACGTGATTCGACTGGAGCATCAGGGCTGGGCTCGTAGAGCTCGCCGTCTTCGGTGATGAGCCTGAGCCTCTTAGGGCGTTTCAAACGCGTGCTCAAATTTTCTCACCACGATAGTAATAGCGGGATGAAAATGCACAATGAATCGGCATTGAACGACAATTGTGAATGCGGAACGTGCTTGTCCGTTAAGCATTTCTATGAAAGGCATCCAAACGCTCGAAAGACTTACACCCGACGGCATTATTTGAAACATAGAGACAGTATCCTCTTGACACAAGCATTTGAGCGCTATATGAACGGACATGCATCTCAACAAAGGACTTTGAAGCGGCTCTTTGAAGCAGGCTTTCCAGTTAAGATTTCAAAACGTGCATGGCATCATGATGATCCGCCAATAACGCTCTCTCCCAATCATGACGTGCCTCAAACGGCGTCTTGGAGCATGCCAGATAATGCCACCGCGTCAGCTTTTCCTTTGGGTGCATACACGAGCATCGAAGTATCCTAAAAGGATTTGACAGAGGTGTTGAGCGAGTGGAGAAATGTGCATCTTCGTCAAAACTGGATTTTGGATCCGTCATGATTATAATGCTTTTCATAGAATTTCTGAGCAATAGATGCCGTATGGAGCATTTGTTGTGCCACTCGCAAGCTTGGCGCATCTTTCATCGCATTTGACACGCAGATTTTCCGCAAAAGGCAACTTCCAACTGCTGCATCTTTGAAGAGATTGGTCGAGCAGAACTTGCTCATGTAAATCTTGGTCATTGGCTGATCGGGAGATCTCATCCTCGATAAAAGGTACTTGCGTGGAAATGCGTGAAGGCTTTCAGCAATCACATTGATGGACCGCGTCGACATATCAATGTTTGTCGCGCCATGGTGTCGGATCGTTTTGAAGTCCTTTAGGACGAGACGAAACTGGTCCTTCTCGTATTCTACCATGTAGTTCTTAGACGATGACATGAGCTCCCGCGCCTCAGTGGTCTTGATGTCCCCGTGACGGACGACCGGGCACTCTGAGTAATCATTACGAACGGCCGGCTGGTAGGTGAACAGACACAGGATGAGGTGCTGGATCAAAATGATCTTGTCTTTGATGGTCAGATCCTCTGGTTTCTGTGGTAGGATCCTGCGATTCACGTATCGTTGCAGCTCTACCCGGCGTTCATTGATCTGATCGAACGTCTTCCAATTGGCTGCCTCTTGCACCGTTAGCTGTTGGGGCGGAGGCCGTGCTTCGTCCATCATTTTGCGGACCGCTGTGAACCGTTGGTAGTACGCATCATAGAGTCGTTTGTCATTTGGGAATGCTTTTTTGCACACGACCAGCAGCGGATTAAGGCCAGTGCTCTGCATACTGAGTTTAACGGGATACGTCTCTTGAAAGTACTTGATGACCGCATCGGAGTCCTCGATCCACTCAAGATCATTTTAGTCGTTCCTTTTGTGCAAGCCCTCAAACAAGCGCATCACGTGCTTCACGTATTGCGCGATCGTGTTTTGGTTGCGATCGCCGTCATCAAAGACCTGGCGCAACAGCCGTTCCCCGTTGGTTACGGAGGTTACACGTTTCGTGCTTCCGCTGGGGTCCTGCATCTTCAATTTTTCTAGATAATGCAGATAAATTTTCAACAAGACAAACGCTCATCTCCCCAGATAATGTGATTATTCACGTTTCAAAAATTGTCGAACGAATTCATCATGCAGAGTCGCTTTTGTCGATTTTCTGGTTACAAAAGCTTCTATAAGCCGGTGTCATAGCCAGACGGGGCGTCACTTTTCGTACGAAAAGTTACTAGCTCCAGATAACGTGATTAAGCACGTACATAATTAAAAAATCGGGCTTTTTGGCATATTCCGTTTTCTATACCAAGCCGATTCGGGTCACTCGCGAGGTCTTCGAACCTTAATTCTCGATTTACGAGTTCCTCCAGGCCCAAAATCGGCTCGTTATCATCCGCCCAAATCACACTCGGTGGACGAGATGAACAAGATGGAGACATTGCTCGTGGCGCCATGTGGTCTACGGGGGGGAACACTCGAGCATTTTGCACATTTTCCTTGGATATCACGCCTTGCAGTTTGCGGGCTCGTCGCCGTGCTTGAGTTGCATTCTTTAGGGCGGCTCTCCTAGCTAACCTTTACAGTGTACGGGCAATCCTCGTTGCTTTTATCCCAGAGGCATTGAAACCTTCCGCAATCAACGAGCGCACCAGAGCTCTGCAGATGTGATTAAGATTGAATGGCTCTGCTAAAGATCGGATGCCACCCAACGCAACAGCATCCAACGTCGTCTCGAGAGATCCGTACTCTTGATAAGCCCTCACAATTGCAGAACGAGCACTTTCAAGGATCTGCTTGTCCATGTCAATAATTGCGACGCGTGCATGAGGACGGAAGCCAAGGATCGCATCCATACAATCTGTTCAACTATCGTCCATAGAGAAAAATGATGACAACCGTTGCACTACCGCGGTGATGACAAATCGTCCTTCAAACTATGATCGCTCTCTTCTAATGATCTCGCAGAGCGTGTCGTCCAAAGCAGGGTTGTAGCTTGTACTCGAGCTTGAATCGTTAAGAATCTTCACCTCAAACCCACACGGTCCATAGCGGCCCCAATTAACGCGGTGCACTCGTGCTCGCATCTCTAACCCTCTCCGAATTGGGCCGAACACTCTATGGTACTTGAATTCGCGCCCAATAAAGCCCAAAGACGACCCCGGGGAGCCGCAATCCGTAGGGTCAAAGATGCCAATACCATATGCGCTATATCCATCCATCAAATACTTGCGAAGTATGAGCTCCTGACCGGGTTGAAGCATGCGTATACGGTTCCGGCGGCCTAGCTTCGAAAGTGACCCCCACGGCTCGGCATAGTGTACGTCCATCAGCAAGCTCCTCCATTGCGCAAGCTGGCAAATTCGATACAATCATCAGCACAAACCCTTTCCCTAAGTACGTACGGAACCCTCGCCGAGCTCAGTGAAGAAGCGGGCCCCACCATGCTTTACAAGCACAAGGTCTCTATGATCGTATGCATACTATCAGCTTCGTTCAGTTTGGCTTCTACAACTCCAGTGAACGATGCTTGTTACATGTGCAGTCTATAGAGAGTAATTAACACCGCGTGGCCCATCCGACAATGATCCGAGACGACCATACCCATCACAATCCCGATTTATGATTGACTGCGCGTACCCACTAGCGGGCGTTTGAAGTCTATTAGAATTTGGTCACGACTGGGTTCACGCGACGAACACGCCACTGGATATCCTTGCAATTGATAGCGCGTACCCACTAGCGGGCATTTGGAGTCTATTAGAATTTGGTCACGGCTGGGTACACGCGACGAACACGCCACTCAATATCCTTGCGATTGATAGCGCGTACCCACTAGCAGGCATGAGGATCTCTAGAAAGAATCGAAAGCTG